CCCGAGATACTTGAAGTGGGGCACGCGTTGGAATTCGTGCGGCCCCACCACCAGCTTTTCGCCATGTGCTGGGTTCTGCGGGTCCCGGGACACAACCATGTACTCTGTCTTCGGTGAGAGCTTGAGTCCGAAGCGAGCCGCGTTGCGTTCGATCTCGCCACAGAAAGCCGCCAGGACTTCTTTGCTCTCTGCGGCCACCGCGAGATCGTCCGCGAAGGCGAGGATGAGCGGTTGTTCTAACCGCCACTACTGCGACCAGGAGCGCCAATGCACGGCACGTTGGCTGGACCTACCCCAAGGGCCCAAGGCACCAACCATTAGCCTGGGTGTGTGTTACTGTTTCGCTCTCATTGTAAACGCCGACCCGAGGATCAGAAGTCACGAGCCAGTGTGACGATAGTATGGACACTGACCCCAAACACGCTCTGCAGCACAACGTCTTGTCCTTTGTGAAGTGTGCGTGCGAGTCGCAGCAGCGAGCAGCTCGCCGTGGCGGGTCAGGGTTAGTCAGGGTCGGGCCGGGGACCCCATCCGAGCTTCTTCGACACCTTCGCCGCCTCTAGCGTGCCGCGGGCGGGCGGCGGGGCCACGCGGGGCCACGGGGAGCTTGTCGTACACGAATTGATGGCACCCTTTTAGCGCCGACGTATTCCTGGATGGAAGAATAGATAGGCGGGGGGTATCGGCATTTGTCGATCAACGCGCCACCCGGCCTGTCACTTCTCCTCCGCGAGGTTCATGCGAGTGCGAGGGGCATGAAAGACGGCCTGGGCCTGGCCTGTGCGCCCCAGGCGCGCGCGCACAGCAGCGGGGCGACTCACCTGTCGTACTCCGCGTTGTCCTCGTCGCAGCGCTCGTCCTTGAGGTCCTTCCAGCTCTTGCCGTGGATGCAGGTGGTGACGAGCACCAGGTCGCGCTCGTTGTGCAGGTGGTACAGCGAGTTGCGCGTCTCGGACCCGATGCCGTGCACGTAGCGCTTGCCCTTGAACGCCAGCAGGTACCTCTTGGCGGCCGGGAAGTTGTTGGACGCCACGAAGCCCGGCTCGCCGCCCTTCTCGGGGTGGTTCTTGTGGAAGAGCGGGATGGAGATGTCGAAACCGGGGCGGAAGACGGCCGTGGACATGCTCGCCTTGGCCAGGATCGCCATGCCAGGGTTGAAGCCTGCGTGAACAAGACAGAGAAAGAGAGGGGGGTGTTATCTGGGGGCGAAATAGAAAGAGAGGGAGAAAGATGTTATCGGTGAGAGGTTTATTTGGGCCCTGGGCGCCCTGGGCAGTTGCGGTGGGCTCTGGCTGCCGGGCCGAGCCGAGCGGGATCAGCAGAGCGAACGGAGCGAGGAACAGAAAGAGAACGTGGTTGGTCTTATTTCACACCCACGTTCATAACAGATCAATCGAGATAAACGCAGTTCCTTTCCTACACGGTTGAGAAAAAAGTACATCGCCGTTACCGAAAAGCAGGGGAATATGTGTAGGAAGTACAAACTTAATCGAGTTCAGCATCAAAGCACAAAGCACTCACTGTCAGGTAGAAAATCGTACTACGCTCGGGAAAAGCTAGCGAGACGTACTGACAGTGTTCAAACTAAATGTGTATTCACTTTGTTTCATCTAGATACAGTGACAACTTCTTTCTAATTATGATTGTCAACGATTTTGTTGGCAGCTGAGGAACAAATTTATTCGAATATTGTCATATGTTGTTAATAACAAAATGTCCATAAAGACGAATTTGTAGAAAGTTTGGGTGTAATTTTGCAGAGTGCTCACGTTTTTGTCTGTTAAGTTATTCTGTTAATTTATTACCAACTTGGACGCGAAAAAATATGTCGACAATAACCTGTCAAAAATAATATCCATGTAGACTTTTTGTGTGTAAATACCTCCAGACCTCCAGCTTTGTACAGCACGAGGACGAAAGCGGTAGAAAGAAAAAGAAAAGAGGGAATGAGAATAATGATCCCTCGGCC